ATAAGTTGTACTTTTGCATACTTTACTTGTAATCTTGAATTTTAAGTAAACATTGATTTTATGTGATTTTGAGAAAGTGATAATGTTTTAATTTTTGAATAAAATATAAATTTAAAAATATCATAAAATTTTGAAAAAAAAATATCGATATCAGTATTAAATTTTTTTTTTAAAGTTCTTGTGTTTTGGTGTAATTTTCTTAATTAATTTTTTTAATTATAATTTAATTTAGGTTTAGTAACAAAAAAATTTAATTTAGGTTTAATTATATAATTTTTTATATAGATAATAACTAAGTATTATGTTACTTATCAATGATTATCCTAATTATATTTTAGATTTTTTATATTCAAAATTAGATGTTTATCCAATATTTGATTATGTTTATCTGTAGTTAGCTAGACGAATTCAAGTATGGAGCTTTAATAAGTTGTACTTATGCACAATTTACTTGTACTCTTAAATTTTAAGTAATATGCATCGATAAACAGTACTTCGCGCATAAAAAATCATTTTTAAGAGTTTTTGTCAAATGCTTTATAATATAGTATAGATATATTTAAGATATTTGTTGTTGTATAATAAGAAACTTATATATAATACATATCGTATTAAAATAATAAAAAAAATTATATAAAATAAATACATAATTAAATTAATAATATTTTATCGATATAAATAAATATGTATTTTTATTAATAAGAATATAATCAATATAAATTCAAAATGGTGGAACCCTGAAAAGTTTGGAAAAGCTATTCATAAATTTGAGTGGAATTTTTTTTATCATAGTAAAAGTATGTTGAAAATTTTAAGTTATTGAGTTGACGGTGATATAGAATAAAATCAAGGTTCTAAATGGCATGGGGCGTGGCGTGGCGGCGCAGTCAAGCCACAAACCTTACGAGTTATGGCGGAGGCCATGGCATTTTCTAAAGTATGACTTAAGGCGACAAATCTGTATATAATATATATATGTATGTATGTGTGTGTGTGTGTGTGTCTCTGTGTGTGTTTATGTCGGTGTCTTGAACAATAAATATTAAGTCATTACCAATTTAAATGCATATAAAACGATAAACAAAAGAAGAACCATGAATTGATAATTTGATATCACATATACATAAAGTTTACAAAAATGATATCAGATATATAAATTAATCCCTTTATAGTCCCTGTTTGGTAATCAAATAACAAAATCAAAGAAATGAAATCAAAGAACAACGAATGAAAGTAATCGAACTATATTTGTCATATGCCATGGTGGTCCCTCCTGGACCGCCAGGATCCCACGAGTGAATCGAAAGTTGGATCTACATTGGATCTCACCTGAATCGCCCCATAAAAATTGAAGATATTTCAATAGCAAGAGGAAATAGTTTTTTTTTTCATAAGGAATTACAATGTCTTTCTATGCTGACGTACTCCTCCTGTTCGAACCGGGGTTTGAAACAAAACTTGTAAGAATCGATTTAGTTGATGGAAGACCCAAGTTCCATAGCTTTTGGTCTGCTATCCCGATCATGATTAGCCTACCCCTGCCTGTAACCCAACAGATAAAGTACATTACATAGCATTACATAGTCTGTTTTAGGGATTGACGACTTACCCATTCAGTGACTTTGTAGCGAAATTCCTTGTTGGGTAAGTTCCCACCATTATGCGCCTCTGCATCTAGCATTTGGTAGACCTCATACAATAACTGATATAATTGCACTTCACGCTCCAACTTTTTGGGGAATAAGCATCGACTAACTTTGTGCCAGCAGCCGCGACAGCTCTCCTAGGGTTCTCTTATCGGGATCCCTAGGGAACGACTTCTCTCTTTCAAGACAGAGACAACGAGGATTCAAGTTCCTTGAAATATTTTCTCAAAGATTCTTATTCATCTACTTGATATTTTGAAAATGGGTTGGTTGTCAGATCTAGTATGGATCGTACATGGACGGTAGTTGGAGTCAGTGTGAATCAAACCCATGTTTGAATTACCGAGAAGTAATTTTTTTCCTCCATTTTGTTGATTAAGTATTTCACTCATATAAACTATAAAGTTATATTTATATTTATTGCTATTCAAGTTTTAAAAATTGTAATTTTCCGTGACGCCTTATAACGCCATAACGCCATGACATGCAATAACGTGCCATAACGAGCTCGACACCTTACATCCATGCCAAAAGGGTTAACATGACGACAAGGTGGCATAAAACTGTAACGTGCTTTTTAAAATACTGAATAAAATAATATTAAGGTAAAGACTCAACATTGTGGTTGCTTTTAAGAAAGGTAAGATGTGTGTGTGTGTTTCATTTCCCATTTTGAAAACGATAGAGTTGCTATTCCTTTTTCCCATTATACCCCTTCACTTTTGGCGTATTTAATATTTAAATCTCTATTGTAAAACAATACTATCTTTGTAATTGTTGTCCCTAAAAGTCAATTTACCGTTATAAAGGATTCATAGAGACGACATAACGTTTTCGTTGCTATACCTTCTTACTGAACCATGTTATCGTTGAAGCTCACTTTTTTGTAGCCTTCATGCTATTATGTTTATAAGCTACTGGTATTATTTATTGATAAAATATTTTAGATATTTTATTATGTGTAAAATAACTGTTAAGCCATTCATTAAGCCATAGAGCTGCCCAAGAAACGAGTCAAAAGAGCTTAGTTGTACTAAAAGAACATTTTAGTCCTCTTCATTATAACCAGTTACTGGTCCTATATTTATGTTTGATTTGGACTTGACAGAACCAATCAGTCCTGCTTATCATTATTTTATTGTATGTGTACATATATATTGTGTATATCTACAAATAATTCAAGAAAGTTACGAGAAGTAACCGTCAAAGGCCTCGACCTGTCCTTGATGATCAGACTCATTTTAACTGAAATTTAGGTTTAACTAAGAGTATGTTAAACTAGTCATTAGTTGGTCTCGAATAAAAAGTCATAACTAATAAACCGAATTGATTCCGTAATTGGGCCTTGAGAGAGTGGCCTTTTGTTAGATGTTACATATTAGTCCTAAAACCCCAATATGTAACCACAAGGGTGATGCCTGATTGTTTTGAGCTTGTCTCCAAAGGTCAAAAGTATCTGGAGGTCCAAGGTTCAAATCCAAGGAGGAATAAAAATCCCCTTGTGGCCACGGAGGTTCAAATGCGGTGACTCCGGACTATCTGCAAAGCAGACGGTCACCCTGGGATTAGTCGGCTCATATAGCGGGTTGGATATCCAGGTTAATAAAAAAAAAAAAAACCCAATATGTGCCCCTGGCAAAAGATTGGTCGATTTGGGGATGAAAATGGTGCTTTTGTTTAATAAGTAACATGTGTTTATTAATCTGACTGTTTATTATTTCTTAAACTAAAAATATAACATAACGAAATAGTAAAGTCTTTATAACTGATATATGATTACTAAACAGTAATATCTTCATATGGACAATTTTGAGCTCCAAAAAAGACATGACAGTAGAGTTGGTCCTAAAATCTAGGACGAATTGCGTAAAAGTACTGCTTACTTTATTTTGATTTCTATTTTCTGTAACGTACTTTTAAGCTTTCATTTTAATTCCTCAGATATGACATCTAAAACATTTATGGGCTGTTTGGCAATTGCTGAATGGTTTAGTGCAGAATGATTAAGAGACTCTCATGATATAATGCAAAATGAAATATAATTGTTTGATAATTGTGTACAATGAAATTAGGGCTCTTAATGGTTAAGGGAGATTCATGGTACAAAATTATTCAGAGAGAATTAGAACCATTAAGAGACATATTTTTTTTTACCAAACAAGATTCATCTCTTAATGGAACTATTAAGAGGTAAACAAACAACCCCTTATATCTGGTTTACAACTGAAAATACTGACATATTTTATCTGATTCTTACTTTTTTTAATATATATTTTGATCTAAACATTAAAAATATTAATTATAATATATAAAATGAAAATACTTAAGAAATATATTACATAAAATTAATAAGAATTAAAGGATGGTTGATCACATTTATATTCCATTTGCCATGAAAGATGGGTCACATGGTTCCCATCCATAATCAATCCACACCAATTGCCCTAAAGTTTATTGGACAATCTCCAAGGTATCAATTCCCCTTTTGTCCTTTACAAGAGAGACACATAGTGATAGGTGAAGTGTGTGTCCCACAACCCCAACCCTACCCAAACTATACACACACACTCTCTCTCTCTCTCTCTCTCTCTCTCTCTCTCTCTCTCTCACACACACACACACACTCACACTCTCTCTCTATATCTATATCTATATCTATATCTATATATATAGATACATATAACTTGTTTGGTTTGGATGGTTGTAGTAACCATTTCCACTTCCCAAAATGCTTTCTTTTCAAGACTCTTTTCAATAACTACAACCAAGATTTACCAACCATCATCTCTTGAATCAAGACCCTTTTCCATAACTAGAACCAAGCATCAAGACCATCGGTTCGGGACACGTATGCGAGACTAGAAAGCCAGAAATGATGAACGGATGAACCGAACCGTAATGGGTTCGGATAATATTGGATGGTGGAAAGGGAAATGTATGACTGTATCAAGTGTCTTATTGATTAAGATGAAAAGGAAAGAAGGCACAAAAAGTTGAAGTTTTAGATGTATTATTATTATTATTATGATCTTACATGGTTCAGGATCCTAGCCTCTCTGCAGGTCATGTCATGCAAACCGCAGCCTGTTCTCAACATTTTTTACATACTTAATTTACACTTTACACCCTCTACTTTCGTTTATTCCAAAAAGACATGGTGTTTTTTGCTTTCTTTTCTATTACAGCCAGCTCAGCTCATTCATGTCATTCATTACAACTCCCGTCACCAACCCCAAAACCAACCAATTTCATTTCACACATCTCTCTCTCTCTCTCTCTCTCACGTATACACACACGCACACACACTAAATAAACGCTCAAAAACCCTTTCGTTCTCTCTCTCTCTCTCTCTCTCTGTGCCTTATTCAACTCCCCATCAGATCTCTTTCTCTCTCTATATATCAGAGATGCGTGTTTGTTAAAGATTTCTTGCCTTCCTCTGTTCTCATCTTCTGGGTATCTCTCTCTCTCTCTCTCTCTCTTTCTCGCAGAGAGTTCAACGCATACGTTGCGGTTACATATAACTCGTGATATAGGTAAGGGTAAGAGGCAAGTGTATCTCGACAAGTATAAGATACCCTTGAAGTATCTTTGATTGTTTTTCTGCTTTTCGGTTTGATTCTTATCATAAAGATAAAAGCTTTGGTTTTTTGTTGGTGAGATAATAACAGAGGGAGAGATGGCTAATGGTGTGGACGAGAATGTGGTGGATGGTTCCACAATGTTTAGCGATGAAGAGGTGAGGGAGATAAGTGGGTTCAAGCGTGGCGGCGATGATTACGTTGAGGTCACGTGCGGGTGCACGAGCCATCGCTACGGCGATGCCGTTGGGACGCTTAGGGTTTTCACTAGCGGTGATCTCGAAATCAGCTGCGAATGTACCCCTGGTTGTCAAGAAGGTCACCCCCTTTTTCTCTAGACCCACTTGCATGTGTTAATGTGATTATGTGTAATATGTGGGTTTTCTTGGAGTTGGTGTAAATGTCACTCTGTGGTCGTGAATTTTGACTCCATTCTTTAACAAATACTTCCTTCTCATCACATGTCTCCGTGAATTTTCAGTCCTCTTTCAGGTTGGTAGCTTCATACACGTTAACTGTATGATGATATGACTGACTGAAAATTGGGTCTATCTTTATATGGCTTTTACATGATGTTGTATACGTTTATCTCTACTTTCATGCCCTTATGATTCGTTGTGATCTTTGCCTGTTAGTGTTTGTGTATAGTATTCAAACCTTATCTTCTTTCGTCTTTGTTTATCCTTAGAGTCTTTCTTCTTGGATGGCCGGGTGATGTGATTGGTGTCTATATATTTGATCTTTCTTAATGCAATGTTTTGATAATGGGTTTTGTTTCAAGTTTCGGATTCCTTGCTTGCAGAGTTCTGTTATCCACTTTACACAAGTGACATGTTCACATGATCATAGAAAGGTTTGTGTTTTGTATATGGCACCTTGCTGAATGTTTCAAGTGTTGGCCTTTGACATGATTTGTTCTTGTGCAATTATTTAGAGTAATTATGGTTTAAGAGGCTGGGAATACATAATTATGCATATGCTGCATTTACATGGTCGCGTTTTCTATCATCCCATAGAATGACGATTTAGTAATTTAATAGCAATATTTTCGCTCGGTGCTATTTGACTTTGCTATTTGTGGTGTTGTCATCATATGCATTTAAAGTCTGTTACTTTGGATGAGCAAGGGCTGGGTTAAATATTCAGGGAGGATTTGGTGATTAGAGTTTCATCTTTCTGCCATAGGGTGTCTTATATATGACCTTTGTCATTTAATTTAGTAATCTGATCAAGCAATTTGGTTGGGAGCTACTAGAATTGACATTTATAATGTTTTGAAGTGGCACTCTATGCTTCCAGCGGTGGTTATATCTTCTAACAAAACGATGATAGAATATTTATTGCATATGTTTTTAAAAGGGATATTATGATATACCGCTAATTCAGAGTGAACTGAGAACATCAGAATGTCTAATAAATGTAGCTGTTTTGGTGGATGACATGTTTGAAAAGCCAACCAGCTACCTCCTACTTTCTTGAACTGTTCTGAGATTATTCAAGCATGTCCGCTAACTCATCCTCCGATCTGCACAAATCAAGTTGTTTCATTTTCTTTATCTTTATATGGCCTTCAAGGTTACTTATCTTTAAGTTCTTAGTCTAATGTTGTGTCATGCAAATGCCAAGGTATTATTCATTTTGGTCATTTAAAATTCCATTTTGTGGCGCTGTTTATATAAGTACGAGAAAACCCAAAGATTTAATCATGGTCCCATTATAGAACATATATAGTCTTGTAAGATTGTAGGAATTCGGTATAAATGAACATAACTTACTAGCTATTTTTCTATATTGATGGATAGATTATTATTGATGGTGGCAATTTTTGTTGGATAAACAAAAATCTAAGCAATATTGATGGTCATGATTTGCCATGATTTTTAGAATATTTCATTTTATTTTACTGATAAATTACAAAAATACCCATTAGCTAGTACTCATTCAATGCAGAAGTATGACCTGAACATTGGATGTCTATCTGCTGATGATGCTCTAAATGACTGTTTCTTACATGATGCCTTTATTGTAGTACTTGTAGCTTTTGGAACTCAAGTTAAGAATTCTGATGATTCTACTTTGGATCTGATCATGAGGCCACTCATAAAAGAAACCCCTCCCCCCTTTTTTAACATCCTTCCAATAATTGCATCTCTTTTACCATTGGAGGATTGGACACTAGCATCTAGTTGTTATGTTTGTAAATGTATCACAAAATCCTACAGTTGGCATTACTGTCCCCTCAACGACTAAATGCATCTAGCTTTTTAGCTGTCAAAACAATGTGATCATCTCCTTTTTTAAAACTTGTAATTATTCTTAAATGCCAAATTTCCACACTTTATTTAGTAGAAAATGTTGTGATGTTCAGATAAGTTGACCCCGGCTGCTTTTGAGAAGCATTCTGGAAGAGAAACATCGAGGAAATGGAAGAATAATGTTTGGGTGATTGTTGATGGAGAAAAAGTTCCTTTGTCAAAAACTGCACTCTTGAAGTATTACAATCAAGCTTTAAGCAATGGGTCCAACAGATCCCAAGCTGTCCGTGTTTGCCATCGGGATGAATTTCTTAAGTGCACACAATGCAATAAGCATCGAAGGTTCCGTCTCCGCACAAAAGAAGAATGTCGAACTTATCATGATGCTTTTATAAATGCTAATTGGAAGTGTTCCGATATGCCTTATGACAAGTATGTGTCTACACCTCTCCTTTCTATTATGATTTAATGACCTTTGGAACCATTTCATTTGGTTTTTTTGCTGCAAACGAACCTTCACTCTTGTAAAAATGCACAAACTAAAGATTTTAAACATGAAGTGCCGTGTATGCTTCTTTTTTTCACTTTCATTTCCACAAGCTGCTAGAGATGGTTTGATTTTGCAAATCATGGTGTTTTTCTTTGTTTCTTTGCGAGAATGACGGTTAGTAGGCAACAAAAAGGCAAGCATGATGGTTATCAATGACTCTTTTGTGTTTATAAATCATACAAGCAGGGTAGTGACGATTACAATACGCAGTAGAAAAAGCGTAGCTATATACTACAATCTCGTGTAGCATATATGTTTCAAAAGACGTATGAAGTACTATTTGGATTCCCATTTATTAATTTAGAGTCTTGTAATGCTCAGCCCACTGGCAACCAGTGCTTAATGTGGGTGACAGCATATGTGAGTTATGATGTCTGCTATAGTGTATTGATGCAAAAACAGTGATTCTAAAATTAGAGACCGACTTTTAAGATGTTAAAGAAAAAAATACCAATAACAAGAAGATTTTGGGAACATGAATGCGATTTGTCAATGCCCTTTTTTCTAAAGAATGGTTGGTTTAGTGGCAATTCACTTGAAAATTGCCTGGTACGTCGAGTGTTAGCTTTGCGTTGACTTTGTGGGCCAAAGCAGTTTCGTGTATCATGGTTATAGAAACAATCTTGAAAGCAATTCTTTGTTATCAGCGATGAATTCCAAATTATCAGAAGTCCCTCCGTCTCTTAACTTGATCATCCTGGTTTTTAGCTTCATCGTTAAATGGCTGAGATTCAATATGAATGATGTAGCTCTGTTTTTCGTGAAGTGTCACTTGCTTGTTTTTCAACTGACTGTTTTGTGTATGATTACCTGCTTTTTCGTGACCATTTGCTTGTTTTTTCAGAATAACATGCGATGATGATGAGGAAAGAGCAAGCCGAAGGGTGTACAGAGGCTGTTTGCGTTCTCCGACTTGCAGAGGCTGCACATCCTGTGTTTGTTTCGGTTGCGGGACCTGTCGTTTTTCAGACTGCGATTGTCAGACATGCATTGACTTCACGATGAACGCTAAAGCTTAGGGAAAACCTGTTTTTAAGCGTAATTTATTCCGGTAATTGAAACTTTACGTGTTTATGTTGTCGTGTTTTACTAGCTACTTACGAAGTTAAGCGTAATTGAAAAACGTGATGATTGTCTTGATTTCTCCATGCTATTTTTCTAAACTTTGCTTTCACAATTGAAAATTCCATGTTTATAACAAAGATTTCACATCATTGTCTGTTAATTAACCCAACATTAAATAATATAAAAGCAGACATTTTAAAGGTTCTTGTACAACCCTACATGAAGGACATTTTGGTCCTTTTACATATAATTATGAATTTTTTCTGTTTAATGTACCCACACACCAATGACAAGAAGAGTTCAGTAACACGACCATAAGCCACGACCTTCATTACATTGCATGGGATGGGACTATCCTCCAAAGCAGCACCCGCGTTACTTGACCATCAGAGACTTCGGAAAAAATGGTCAATGGTAATGCTCCTTTTGCTAGAAAGTTTGCAAACGATGATGTGGTTCTAGACAAGATTTATCAGGAACTGCTGGGCCGTAGGAACCGGTTTGGTCAAGGCGCATGGTGTGTAGCGAGCTCGGACAATTGGTCGGACCCTTGTGTGGTTCATGGCGATGATTCTGTCTTCATGCCTGGTCCAGGGACCGTGAGGCTGAGTGGCCTGTTCAGACAGCTTTTGTCTCAAGATTCTTAAAGCAAGCGGTGTCCATCTTGAGAGACTAAGGGGTTGTTTACTCAACACTTAATGTCTCTTGCCGGGTAAGAGATGTTTATAGTATGTTATTTTGATGACCAAAAATATTTCCCAAACCACAAGTGTTGTGGCGTAGTGCTTGAGGTCCTAGAGGATGTGGTGGAATATCCCATCTGTCCAGGGTTCGATTCTAGATGTACATTGTGGTCACTGAGTTTATCAGTACTGATTTCTTGTGGTTACAATTTGCTGAGATTAGTCCAGGCAGCATGGGACACCCCTACGAAGAATAGGTAAGTGACAGTTGCAACTCTTACCAACTTCCCCGGTTTATGTTGGTAAACAACCCCTAACTGATAAAAGTTAATATTATTCTTGTTTAAGCATGCTTACTCTTGAATCCTAACGGTAAAAAATTGTAAATTGCTATCACAGATTCAGAGTTAATGGTAAAAAATCTTTGGTTTTCAGGAAGTAAAATCGAACTTGTAAATAATTCTTATAATCATCCTTTTTGAATCTTTAGGGGGATATTTTCATACATATGTGGTATTATAGTTATAAGAGAAGAATCGTGTAAGAATATGAGTTAAATGAGAAGCTTAAGAAGGAATCTAGACCCTTGATCATATTTAATCTCACCCCCATCCTATGAATTGCAGGAATTGATCTAGTGCATCTCGATGCAGCGCATTAGTGTTGAACTTCGATTAGAATTAATCCAAAGATGGAGATCCCTTCTCACCATAACCTTCATTCTCACCGAAACCTAACCCTATAGTTGTACCTATACAACTTTTGTGCATAACATAAACTATTTGTATCATCAAATCATTTATTGGTGTTAGATTGAATTCGGGTTGAATAATCGATTCATTGATGAATATTGAGATTGCCGGATTGAGTCTTTCAAGGCATCACTTGTACAATTTCTCTTTCAATGTAGATTATTAGTAAAGTATAATGGACCAATAAAATGAAAGAATTTAGGTCCCGTTTGCAGGAATGAAATGGAATTGGGTGATTTGGATTTTAAATCCATTCAAATTTCATGTTTGGTTTGTTGGATTGTCCATATTAGAAATCCTATGATTTAATTGAATTCCCATAAACATAGGATTTTGAAATCCTTAGGGGGTGCTCGGGATTTTAGGGATTTCGTAGAATTGTATGAAATAAGATTTTAAAAAATGTTCAAAACATTTGTTTTGTAATAATATATTAATAAAAATGCAATTTAATTATTTTTATCATTATTTATAATTTTTTTATAAATTATTTGTAAATAATGGAATCCAATTCCATTCCAAATCCTACAAATCAAGCACAACAATGATTTCAAATCCATTCAAATCCAAATCCCTCCATGAAAATGATGAAATTCAAATCCCTCAAACAATCCACCAAACTAGGCATGGCAACGGGGCGGGGATGGGGCGGGTTTCGTAATCCCTGGCCCCGGCCTCGGTTTGTAGTAACGTCCCCCGGCCCTGGTCCCCGGCGGGTACGGGGATTATCATCATGTCCCGGGTCAAATCTCTAGCAATTCCCGGTCAAAACCAGTAGAACCCCGGTCAAACCCCATAAACAGTATCTTTTAGTTTGATTCTACCGGGGATCCTTGGCCCCGACCCCGGTTTGAATAAACATCCCCCATCCCCGGTTTGAGTCTACCGAGGATCCCCGGCTCCGGGACCTGTTTTAGCGGGGAATCTCCGTTCCCGTTCGGGTCGGGTGAACCGGGTTCCCTACCTGGTCGGGACAAATCACCATCCCTACAGCAAACCAAACAACTCTTGCGTTTTAGATTTAAATGATAATCACAAGAGAAGCTACTATTATTTATTTTTTATATTTGAATAACAATCACAAGATCATAACAAACATATGTGATTGCCATTTGAATACAAAAGTAAATAATCAGTAGATTCTAGGGTATTCGCGGTGCAGTTTAAGGCCAAACCACACCGCACATGAGGTTTAAAGATTTTCTCAAATCACAAACCACACTGCATATGCCTCAAACTGCAAAAAACCACATCGCAAAAGACTGTGCCATGTGGTGCTGTTTAAGCAGTTTGAATCTAAAGCACTTTAATCCAATAATTATATAGAAAATCATAACTTTGACAATTCGACGATGATGCTCTTATATTCCTTGCAATTAATACTTACGGTACGTACGAAATGCGTAATTAACCACAGTTTGATGACTCGAATTCGCAAACCGCACCGTACAGTGCAACTTGATGAAAAGGCAAATCTCAACGCGCATGTGAAAGTTCTAAACCGCGTTTTGGATGCAGTGTGGGTGGTTTGTGCGGTTTGACGGTTTTGATGAACACCCCTAGTAGACTTTCATGTACTTATTCAATAGGAATCATGTAAAGGTAGATTATAAACCACTTGTAAAATGACCATATGTAATGCTATAGATCAGGTATATTTACGTAGCATCATACAGTCCGTTTAGGAACTGCATATGTCGAGTTGCAAATTTTATTTTCTACACAACGGAAGGTTCCATTTTTCTCTTAAACGGAGTTATAGACGTCAATATATGGTTCCAATGAACCAATCATTGTCTGTCCATAATTAAGCCTTGGGATTTGACGGCTTTTCTCATCTGGGAATTTTCTTTCATGTTGTATGAGAAATTCCATGAGGGGGCACCACCCTTTCTATGGATTGATCACATCGTACAAAAACATTCCGTTCTCTTAATTTTATAACTACTGTGACCGACAACCGATAGATCTTGTAATCATTGATGACATTGAGTCGTGGATGTCAGTTTTTCTAGTTATATTATAATTTTTGATTGCATAAAAAATGTTGTATCAATATCAACTGATATCACTTAGACTGGAAACCCGTTTTTCAGGTAAAATGAGTTGAAAGTAGAAATAGGAAGAAGAGAAAAGTTCAAAAAACCCTAACAAACTTTTCTATTTTGAATGGTTTAGTCTGCAAACTACATCTTTGAATGAAAAAATCCTTTAAACTTTCTCGTTTTGAATGATTAAGTCCCTCAACTATTTTTTGAATCAAAAAAATCATTAAACTTTCTCTTTTAAAATGAAAACACCATTAAACTTTTTCATTTTGATTGATCAAGTCTCTTAGAACATTTTTTTAATAAATAAACATCACACTTTTAAAAGTTGATTACCTACATTCTTTTAACAAAAAAAATACATAAACGAATTAGTAAAAATTTGATGGTTTATTTATGAAAAAAAAATATCAGTCTTAATCATTCAAAATGTAAAAATTTAATGATTTTTCCATTTAAAAGAATAGTTCAACTACTTGATCATTCAAACTGAAAAAGTTTAATATTTTTTTTTTCGTCCAAAAAAAATAGTTTAGAAACTAAAAAAAAGTATTTTTACATCCGGGTGAGAAGCATAAAAATAGATCGAAATCTTTGATCATTTTTAATCTCATGTCCATCATAAGTTAAAAACATTTCTACATAATATTCGACAGTTCAATGCTTAATGTCAAAACCCGTTACTATTTTGTCATTTAGACGTATCTAACCTTTGATAATTCTATGCGGTCTATGTTGCTACGGAGTCCAATTTGATGGAAATGGTACACTTTTTTTTCCGTTAATCGTGGGCGTTAAAGTCAACTTACACATACCTCTACTAATCTCACGGGTCTTAAAGAAAATAGTCAAAAAAGTCCCCAACATCCATGAAAAGCCATGAAGCTCATTATCGTAAAACGGAATTGAATGGTATTACACCAAAAAAAAGGCGTAAAATTCGCATCAGACACTAATCTAACTCACCTTAAACATGACCAACATAAGAAAAAGTTGCTTCCTCAAGGAAAAACCTGGTTTATCAGCTGATAGCTAGCTTTCTGACAAAAAGTTTTTTTATTAACCTGGATATCCAACCCACTATGCAAGCCGACTAATCCCAGGATGACCACATGCTTTACGATAGTCCAAAGTCCTGCATTTGAACCTCCGTGGCCACAAGGAGATTTTTATTCCTCCGTTAATCTCTAAGTTTTATGCTTTCGCCAATTTCTGCTAAAGCATCAACAGATGAGAATTGTAGAACATCGAAATTTTGTAGTGCAATAAAAGTTGAAAGAGCAAATGTGATGCTGAGATATATATATTATGCATATTGAAGTTCAATTAATTATAACACATCATATACACATATGATTTGAAGGATGAGTGCAAGTTCAAACGAGAAGATAAACATTTTGCGGAAAGTTTCAATATCATATATGATTACAGGCATTATATACAAACTTAATCATACATGATTAAACACATGTTTTATTATGACGTAGATGCTTAATCACATATGATTAAACACACCCAAAAGAATGTAATCATATATGATATTGAGACTTCTCGTATTCTTGCAAAATGTTTAGCTTTACATGATCGTTCCTCTTGAAGGATATATATATATATATATATATGTGTGTGTATATATGTATATGTATATATGTATATAGGTATATATATATATGTATATATGTATATATGTATATATATATATATATGTATATACCTGCTTGTCTTTGTTCTTGCCTTTGGTGAAGAACTTATATCCACTAAAGATAAGCAATCCCCATCCAGATAAAGACAGAATAACAAACTGCATGGAAACATCCACAAACATATATAAATATTCATAATATAATAGCTACAAGTTTAATTTCTTTTTTTATTAACCTGGATATTTAACTCGTTACACGAGTCGATCTGCTTTGCAGATAGCTCGGAGTCACCACATTTGAACCTCGTCACAAGGGGATTTTTATTCCTCATTGGATTTGAACCTGGAACCACCTGATACTTTTAATCTTTGGAGTCAAACTCAAACCAATCCAACACCACCCATGTGGTTTACAAGTTTAATTTTGAATCCCAATTTATGGTACGCCTTTTCACAACATTTCTAGATATTGTAGGTTTTTGTTTTAGAATTCGTATCGATTTCCAATGCAGAAATTAATTAAATAACCATGAACGTGGTGTCTGATTGGTTTAAGCTTGTACTTCAAACGTCAAAAATGTTCAGAGGTCCATATTCGAATTTAAGGAGAAATAAAAACTCCCTCGTGACAATGTGGTGACTCCCGATTAGAGTCACCTGACATTAATCGGCACGGATAGCGGATTGATATCCAGATTAATAAAAAAAATAATGACACATCAAATCACAAACTGTATCAAGGAATTAACGGTAGCAAATTAAATAATTAAGGATCATATGAAAACCCTAAGACCTTCAATCATCTGAAAAATTCATACAGAAAAATTGACTCACATGCTCTTCCTTCCACCTGGACGGACTCATCGGATCTTTCCAAAAGGCCACCTTTGGTGGTCCATGATGATCTGCAAAATGGCTCAAATCAAATCTAAAATCCATTGCAAACCACGATTAGGTTACACATAGTTTATGTGTGCATCGGAGATAGAGTGAGATTTACAGTACCGGCGGCGCCAGATAGACCACGGCGCTGGATAACGGAAGCGGCGTGGGAAGCCGATCCAGGAGAGGAGAGACGCAGTAGATTTGCAGCTTGACGAGCCGCCAACGATGAAGCCATTTTGCAGCTCCAAACAATTTTTCTTCAATCAATTGTTCACAAAAAGAACATTTGAGAGAGGAGAGGGTGATCAACGACAGAAGATGCGAACTAAAAAGTACAGGTTTTTTTATAGGACGACGTCGTGTGGGATCTATAATATTTTCATATATGACCCTGTACTTTCTGAAATTTCTTCTAAAGCCCCAACAAAAGCAGCCTGGAGACTCGGTCAGTACTGCCCTTTTTAAGTTGTCAGTCTCCTTGTCCTTGCCCCCCCCCCCCATTATTCAAGTTTTACCGATTGGCCCCTAAACTTTTCCAATGTGAACCAATAGCTAGCATAGATGCACAAAAAGACTTAAGTTGCTGAATGTTTTGGTGCAGTATGATTAAGTTGTCAGAATGATTAAGAGACTCTCATAATATAATGCAAAATGAAATATAATTGTTTGGTAATTGTTTACAATGAAATTAGGGCGCTGAATGATTAAGAACATTCAAGATACAAAGATACAAACATTTTTTTTGCCAAACAAGATTCATTTCTTAACGATTCAGAAACTGTCTAGTTCCATTAAGAGGTAAACAAACAACCCCTTATTCTTGGATCAATTAGGATGGGTTAGATGGTTGGCAGTTTGGCTAGGGACGAAAATTGGGGATTGGGTTCCCTGCCCCATTTGCATGCCTATACATTTCCTCCTCCAAACCAACTTCCGAGTGATATTTACTGGGTCCGTTTTAATTGGTTTGGTTTGTTTCTAGATCCGATATGTATGCTTTGTTGAACACCAACCTAAAATACGAAGACAAGATCGAAAGCTAAAGCTTAGCTAAGATTTTATCTGATTAAACATCGTAGAACAACATTAATACAGAAAAGGAAACTAATATATATATATATATATATATATATATATATATATATATATATATATATATAACTAAAACTAAAATACTAAAATGACGAAACTGGTCCCTACACTATACATAATAACCAAATAACACCACCAAGTCTAAAAAGAAATATTGGAAGCAATACCCTATGGACGCATGATCATGGGAAACCAAACCGGATAAGTTGCTACGATTATTAAGACAAGAACGAGGGCGAGGGCAATGCAAGTACATTTCCTCGAGCTCTTTTGCAACTCCTTTGTTTCCACCAATTGCTCGGTTCCACGATGAACAAACGAACTCGCGTGAGCCACGTGGCTCTCGATGTCGTTCAACTGTTGTCCTTGGGCTTCGACCAGCGCCGCCATATCCAAAAAGATCTGGTGTAGTTCGATCAGATTCTTCTCTATATCTTTCACAGCATCGTGTCTTTCTTGGATTTCCATGATTGTGTCCATAATTTGGCCTCGACCCTGATCTTGGATCGCTTTTTGAAGGAAATCTTCGCTTTCACCACTCGATATCAGATCCTCGATTAATTCGTCGTTTGCCTTCTCGCCCGTAATCGTAAAATACCTTCTCCCGACGGTCTCTTTATACTCTTCGTTCATCTTGGTCCGCAACGCCTGGAAGTCGTCCATCATGATCTTGAGCTTCTTACCCAAACCGCTAACAACCGACGTGCGAGTTCGATCCGTGGACGAGCCAGGCCCACAACCAGGAGTCTTTCGATGCTCCACGTTCGATTTGTCAAGGGCCACAAGCTTTCCTTTAATGATCTTGACACGCTTCAACACCAGCTCCACATCTGAGTCCATTCTGGCTCGAAGCTGTTTCATGGTTTTCGCATTATGAACCGTTTTACTCTCCTCGTTTGATTCTTGTAGCTTTTTGTACAGCTTCTCGACACCGGCCATGTCGTCTTTAACGTTCTCGACATCCTGGAAGAACTTATCAAGATCGACGGTGTCGTTGGCAGCGCCACCGCCGGCCTCCACATCAAGGTAGGAGTGTGTTTTAACAGCTTGGGATTGCTTGAAAGAGCTAGAGAATAGATCATTCATGGTTGGATTTTTGTGATTGTGTGAAGATTTGATCTGGTTTCCAACCAAATTAAGAGATGGATTATGAAACCAGATTTAGGATGAACAGGAAAACACCTGCTTCCCTTCTTCTCTCCTGTGAAAACATGATGCATGTGGGAGGAAGAAGTGGAAGGAAAGGTGAAAAAAGGGGAAAGGGTTGAAGGAGCCTGCAACTAATAAATGTTGACACTAATTTGAATGGAAGAGAGATGACATTAATTTGGGAGGGATGATAACTATTCATTATGGGGTTCGTAGTTAAAGTAGGAGAAATTTAATGGTTCTAACACAAAACCAAATTAATCCTAACAACCTCTTTACTTTTCGCATTATATATGTATACATTATAAAACAAATCACTTTTAATTACGAGGGTGGTGCCTGATTGGTTTGAGCTTGGCTCCAGAGGTTAAAAGTACTGGGAGGTCCCAGGTTCAAATCCAACGAGAAATAAAAATCCCGTTGTGGCTACAGAGGTTCAAACACGATGACTTCGGGCTACCTGCAAAGATACACAAAATAGAGAAAAGCATGTGAGTATTTCAGTGACGATAGTTAAAATGAGATATGAACAAATCTTTGTGAACTAGACCGTCAATTGAGCCTTTACTCAAAACAGAAAAAGAGAAGAGTGTTCTTGAGAAAGAAATCACTTAACCACGAGTGTTTTAGTGACGATTGGTAGATCGAGATCTAAACAGATCTTCATACACCAACTTGTTAACCAAGCATTTGCTCGAAACAAAAAAAGAGAAATGAACAGTAATCAACACCACACGGGGAAACAAAAAACAAGAAGAATACTTGCCTGGAATCGATTACAACAGATTACTGAAGAGACAAAGATGAACCAATGAGATATTCAAAGATTGAACAAGAGCAGAACCACACATATAGCTCTGATACCAAGTTCAAAACAATAAACCAACATATTTATTTCATATGAACATTAATACGAGAGAATACAAAATGTAAACCCTAAATCCATACAAGAAGATAGCTAAACTAGATATGAACTAGAGAGAATGTAAACAAAAAATGATTCACTAATGAATATTGAACGACTAAACAAGGCTATATATATTAATAATGAAATTGCAGAAATAGTCCTTAAAGAATAAAAGATTTTGCTCCACTACCCTCCAAAGTTTCCAAAAAGTGAGGCGCAACCCCTCCACTTTAAATCATCAACTTTACACTCTTGACAGCTTCAACCCCTTCGGATAACAGAAAAATGACAAAAGTTAAGATTGTTAAAAAACTTGTCATATTTTAACATAGTTTTCAGAAATATATATATATATATATATATATATATATATATATATACACAAAATTAATAACCTTTTATGTATTTAACTTAAACTATGATTCATATGTTTTTAACAATATAACCAAATCACACGTGCGCACGCATGCTTACACACACACACATATAACATCATAAGGGGTTGGGTTTCGGTTTAAAGGAGAGTTAAGATGGAAGTGTAAAAAAAAGATATTCACCCTTAGATGCACATTAGGATGCGATGCACCAAGATGAGATGCACGGATTAATCCCTGTATCAAACGTGATTTATGGGTGAGTTTGAGATTAAAAGTGATCAAGGTCCAGATCCTTTCTTACGTTTCTCATTTTAACTCTCTTTCTCACACGATCTTTCCCCATGTCACAAATATCTAAGTGTTTTAATGGAGTAATTTATAGGACTTAAATTTATAGAACCAAACATATGTGTCATATGCAAGAATGTTACAATAGGTTTATATGATGTTTTTTACATATTAAATAAGGTGTCATATTAGTTTGTTTATAGAACATTTTTGAGAAATATTTTAAAACACATCCTTTTATACGACTCCAGACCACCCTTTCAAATAATGTTATATAAAAAATTTAATTTGATGCTTAATTTAAAAGTATCATAAATAACTATTTATTAAGTCCTATAAAATTTTCTATTAAAACACTTAGTAGTCGCTTAATCACCAGACATTTACCAAGTAAGCATTTACCAGCAACAATCACTACTCTCACTTTCTTTATGTGGTAACATTCTTTACCATCAAAATAGATTGATGCTAAGCGTTTATTATAACTCGGTAATCGCTTACCAGATAAGAGTCATCACCCTCACTTACCAGACAAAACTCTCGATACTTGTCTTCCCTCTTACCAGACAAAACTCTCGATACTTGTCTTCCCTCTTACCAAATAAGATTCTTGGTCTTTGTTATGTTAACCCGTAAGATAATTGAACCACTAAGTACTTATCAAGATAATTGTTTAATAAACGACCTAGATTTTTGTAACATGTTATAAGCTTAATTTTATTATAGTGATAAGTTTTTTCATAAATAATATTTTAGACATGTAAACAATCCCATCTAACAAACCAGTCATTATAAATTTCTAAAAATAGGAATATAAGTTTTTTTAATAACATGGATATCCAACCCGCTATGCGAGCCGACTAATCCCAGAACTACCACCTACTTTATAGATAGTCCGAAGTCACCGCATTTGAAACTCCATGGTCACAAAGGGATTTTCCAAAAAAAAAATAGGAATATACAATTCAATTACTTCCCACAAACATTATTTACCTCTCAACAAAAGAATTATGTTCCAATTCTATTAAGCATTGTATTAATCACATTATTGATCTTCAGATGAAATCATCTCAATAATGCCACACATTAAGCTCCTCTCCTGAATCTGGTATATACAATTTAAGACAAATCAATTATTATATAATAAATTAAAAATTAAGATTTAATCCTTATTTTTTTTAAATAAAAAAATTGAGATAAAATGAGAATAATCTATTACCTCTAATGTTGAAATAACTCTCAAATGTTCAATACACTCTTCAAGCAACAATTTCTCCTCGAATGCGATCTTTGCAAGCTCCGAAAAAGTTGAAACAGTCTCCCGAGTCTATTAAAACGTAAATTCGTGTTTCCAGTAAGTACGTAATTTGTGCAAGTTAGATATTTATTTGTTGATCTTAAAGGTGTACGTATGATACCGTGGGCGTTAGAAAAGATTTCATAGAGATGACGGAGGCAACCAAATCCGTTGCTTGTCTTAGTGCAAGCGAAGTTGTTTGAGAATCCATCTACACGAAGAAACATATCATAAAACACGACATTTCGTAACCAAATTTGTTGCTATCAGAATTCGAATTTTGAATGGCTTTTATGGTCATTGTAACACGATAAACATTTGTTCTAAGTGTTCAAATACCTTAGCTCCTTCAACAAGGGGTACCCTACAAGCAACAGCTTCTAAGCTGTCTTTGATTACTGAAACGTCTGATGTGTGTTTCCTTTCGATGTCTCTCCATGCTTCCAACATCTTCATCTACACCATAAGATTGCATTAGGCGAAATAGTAATAAGGGTATGCATCGGTATCTTGTATAATATAATAAAGTTATTATCAAGTAAAATACTGACTTGAGGATTGACTATAAAGTTGAGCTTCAGTTCTAACTTCTCTTTCTCCAATTGCAATCTCTGTTGCAACACGGATTGCTGTAACTTCGTGATGTTCTCTAATGCGTGTAATGAATCTTTCTGTGGTCATGAAATCGTGAAATTAATTATACGACCTCAAAAATGTTACAATGTATCGGTTTGACTTTTGAAGTCAAATTATTTTACTACGGAAGCATTTGAAATTACTTAGGGGGTGTTTAAGATTGCTTATTTGAAACAACTTGTCTTTTTCTACAAAAGCACTTATCAACTTTTTTTAAGTCAGAAAAGTTTAACTTCTTCAAAAACTCTTTATTACCAGTTTGACGTTGGTATAAGTTGTTTATCCAAACACTCAAAAGTGCTTATTACCGATGCCATAATAGAATAAGTTAACACCCCTTAAATTCTTTCATATCATTTTGACAAGAACATTGGATTTCCACATTCGAATACAAATGATTGCCCATTGATTAATGATTTAATACTAATTTCAAAAATTTATAAAAGTAACAATGAGTCTTTGACTGAAAAAGTCAAAGTTGATAAGATACCTTAGCTTTGTTATCTAGGGTTCCATTAACGACGTTAGCTCTAGCATTGGTGTATCTCCACTGCATCCAACTTCCATGCATCATTCTTAACTGATGAACACCCTCCGCCATGCCCATACCGGCCCCGAGAGGTGACAAACAACCAGACCTGCTGCTTTTCTTAAGCTTGATCAAATCAAGGCCCATATGCAGAAAATTCTTTTTACCAGTTCTTGATGGACTTGTTGGAGGCTTTGATCTCGAAAACGAAGAGTTTGTCGGTGTTGGTGGTGATTCAGATCGTCCCCCCGATGAACCCCATCTGGATGGCAGAGCTAATGAGTTTGCCTTTTTCATGGCGTTCTTGATTGTGGATTTGGTAGGAGAATTAGCGGTAGATAATGGTGAGTTCATGTACTTCGATGGAACTTCGAGTCCAGATTTTCTAGAGCTTAATGTGGGTGCCATGTATGACGCCGGTGAGTTTCTTCCTATGATGAATGGAGATCCCATATCACTACACTCGGAGTCGTCGGAGAAAGAATCTGATCTCATCCGGTCGGAGTACGATCTTCGGCGAAGTTCATTTTCATCCACTGATAATCTCCCGGGAATTATAATTTCACCAGAGTGATCAAGAAACTCCGAAGACTTGGAGGAGGATGACGATGAAGAAGTTGATGATCTTCCCGGAAATCTGAACTTTCCGGCGTATCTCATTGACCCACCTCTAAAAAGGGGTTTCTGATTCTCCTTCAAGTTGCTTTGCTTTTTTGGATCATTCTCGAACCGACTAAACTCGGAACAACTTTTCTGCTTACTAAGATGTGTCGAACCACCACCGCTGTCCCTTTTCCGATCGTTCCCGAGGTATTCAGCGAGGGTGGTGGTCGGTGAATTGTCATCGTGGGATTTTGATGAGTGGGAAGAAGGCCAAACTCCACGTAGCAATCCAGTGTGTTTGGAAGACGATTTGGGTTTCTGTTGGCGATTAGGAGAGAGAGGGTGGTTATGACTCGGAGACGGCGGTAACGACGGTGTTGATAGGTATCGAGATCTCACCGGCCGAGAATTTTCCGGCCGAGGCTTATCGGAGATCATCATGTGGCGAATGAGATTGAGAGAGAAAGAGGGAAGAAAAACAAACATTCTCTCAAAAACTGGCGGCTAAATAGATACGGTGCCGGCGGGGTGTGAAATTACAAGAACACCCTTGTTGCCGGGGAGTTGTGATGGATGTGTTAGGGGTAGTGTTGGGATTTTGTGTACGAAGAGATTGAGTCAAAGAGAATGCAATTTGAATTTGGCAGAGGCCACTTGGGAGATTTCGATAACTCCGTAGTTTTTCACTTTGTTGTTCTGCCGAGCCGGCATATTATGAACCTCTAGGGACGTGCCATGTGTATATTTAATTCTCTTTTACATTTTCAAACAATATAATCTAACATAAATTCTTAAAAAAACATTATTTATTAATATATATTACTTAAAATTTAATATTACAAATAATTGTATGTATGTATAACTTATTAAAGTTTTATATTTGAATTCGTGTAA